AGTCCGGCGGAAACCGAGGCAATGGGAATAAGGGAGGTTCTTATGGTGGCCGAGGAGGAGGGCTGAGAGAAAATTGAGCTGGAATCTGATGCACAAGTTGTTATTCGAGGGATTAAGGGCAGTGGGTGGTGTTGCTTATCTGGACCTGATTATGGATGATGTTCGTTCTATATTGGAGACAAAGAGTAATTTTGTGATCTCTTTTTGTTCACGATCTGCGAACCGTGTGGCTCATAAGCTAGCTAGAGCGCACATATCCATCTCAGATCATAGATGTAGTTATGATATTATTCCGGATTGTATTGTAAGCCTTTTGGCAAATGATCTTTTGAATTAATATACATTTAGTCCCGGTTTAAAAAAAGTGCAATATTACAGAAATTAACGATTAGGCTATGACCCTAAAAGTGATTATTTCTGATTGTGTGAAGATGGTAACCAACGATCAAGGGCGACAAGGTTGGGCGACAATCAATTATGACAAAGATGCTCACTGACGATCGATGGGGAAGAAACTGCTCGCCGAGCAATGGTGAGGGCTAACTTTTTGGGCGACAATTGATGATGATGAGGGATGTGAGGTTAACAACTAGTAGCTATCGGTAGTGAGAGGGAGAGATGAGAGGCGACTCTAGGGAGGCTATGCTGATTGGCGTAGATGGAATTAGGGCTGACATTTTGAACCGAAAAAGCGATAACCGATCTGAAAAAAAAACGAACCGTCAAAGGAAAAAACCGAATCGAACCAAAAAAGTTGGGACTAGAAAATTGGTAACGGAGGTCTACCTCGATTCGGTACCTGTTCCTGAAATTCTAAAGGCGTGTGACCTGCTGATATGACAAGTTCTGGATTCAATTGAATGTTTTTACAAAGTTCGGAAATTTTATTAATCTTTTAAAAAGCACTAGAACCAAATTCCTATGGGATCCTATATATGGGGAAATATATGGGGAGCTTCATTCAGATACCTATGGGATCCCATAATTCGATATTATTTAAATTCCTTACTATTTTTTCTAATTTTGTAGGACACACAAAGACAGTGCAGGACGACTCAATATCTCTTCAACACAGGAGTGTATTAAAAACGGAGGACCCCACATCCATATCAAAACTCATTTTTAATTCTCAAATTCAGGCGGCAGATACTGAAAATAACCATGTCTTCTCTTCCGGGAAAAAACCCCAGTTGCCATTGATCCAGGCTTACTCTGATGCCTCTGACGATTTTGATCATTCAGATGACTCATTCTTTACAGATGACTTCTTGGGACATGCAACCGAGAGTGATCGCTGTCCACCTATTTCCTACCCAGAAGAAATTAGAAAATCCAAGTTCAATACCGCGATTTGTCGCAAAGCTAATTTCATAACCACAGAAAATTGTCTGCCGACCGACAAATTAAACACGCAGCTAAAGATCTACAGGAAATCTCAAAACAACAAGCGGCGTCACAGCATGACAACTAGGTCCCAATCCCGAGATTTCCCATGGGATTAGCTTTTTTTCTTTTCTTTCTTTTTGTACTGCTTTTCCCTTGATTTAGTACTTTTATTTTTCTTTTCATGTACTTTTATTTTATTTCTTCCCTTCTCGCATTGTACCCTTATTTTATATCAATAAAATCTTCTTTAAAAAAAAGCACTAGGACCAAATTTGTTTATTATTATTTTTTAAAAGCAGGAGCACTACCTTCCCAATTTTCCCCGGAAAAAAACTTCCATCTATTGTTTTATATAGTAAAGCTGAGTTATGAAAAGCTGATGTGTCATCTTCTAATTGGTTAATTAATACAATAATTAACATCACTTTTAGGGCATTAATAATTATTAATACCGAAAACTTCGTAATTGATTTGCGGAAAACAAGTAACGTAACTAATTCTTTTTAGTTTGTTTGTTTATAGCAGAACATCAATTTTTGGATTCCAGATGATATCAACTACTTACAAATTAAATCGCAATATTTAATTCATATAGAGTACGATCAAAAATATCATACAGAGTATGGAGTAAGAAATTTTTAATTCTAAAAAAAAAATATAATTCTTTAAAAAAGTCATACGTGCATATATTTTACAAATGCCTATCCCAAATTTTAAAAAAGCCTAAACTTTTAAGGAAATGTTTTTTTTACCGGCTCATTTCGACGTTAGAGGGCCTCATCCCAAATTTAAAAAACGCCTTAAATTTTAATGTAAAAAATTTCGTGCAACTTTTTCTAAGAAAGTTGTACAAGCCCAGTCCGACGCAATTTCCTGACTCCACCCCTGAAACGAGGCATGAATTAAATTTAATGGATGAGAGTTAAGTTAATGATATGCTTATAGAATCACATTTATTTCTGTTATTTATTTAGTATATAGGTTTTCACATTTTTACGTATTTTGAATTGTATGTAAGTTTTTTATTTCACTTTGTATCACTCAAAAATTAAATTTTGAGTGACACTATTGATTCAAATGACTTCTATTTTAACCTTTTAATTAGAGAAAAATGTTCCACTACTTCTATTTATTTATAATTTAACCTATTTTTCACATTGCATTATTTGATTTATGTTTAGAATTCCTTTTAAATGGAAAACATCTAAAAGGGAGGTGACTCTCCAAATCGAAGGCAAAAGATTATTCCTCTAAATTAAACCATATCTCTGAAATGTGTGTCCATTTAAAAAAATAAAAACAGATTAGTTATTAATTCAGATTAGCAATTAACACCCCATAACAAATTACCAAATGTTAGGACTAAAGTCGACGATAATTGCTAAGTTATAGAATCTAAACAAAGTTGAATTAAACATCATTTGAATCTAGAGATAGTAACGGGGAAAATCAGAGACGATTATGTATATAACCGTACACGCCCCGTTGAATAATTTTCCCACTCCGTAATCCCCCCATTACCCAACATATAAATTTTATTTAAAACATAATCACCCCAATGGATAATGGGTATAACTGCGGGTAACCATTTTGTTAAATGCATGAGTCATACACATATTTATATAAAAAATGATAATTTAAAAGGCGGAAGTTTTGTGTATCCTACAAGATGAGAAAGAAGGCAATTTAAATTAATTTGAATCCAAAAATACTTAAACTGTAAATTAATTATTCAACAAAATACCCTTATAATAACTAAATGAGACTATTAAAATATAGGGAAAATCGCACTTTTAGTTCCTAGAATAGTCACTATATTGAATTGTCAGACCTGTATTTCTGATATTGTAAATGATACCTCTCAATTGTCCAAATTGTTGTAAATATGGTGCTTTGAAGGGTGCAATGTACTCTCCCACATTGTACATCTCTCCCTCCATGATCACATTTACAGCAATTTGAACAATTGAGGGTGACATTTACAAATTGGGGAACACAAGCCGGTCATTTCAATATGGTGATTATTTCACGGACTAAAAGTGCGATTTTCCCTAAAATCTATTATGATCTTTCATTCATACATTATAGTTAGTACATAAATATTTACACAATCAAAAGAGAAAAATCTCATGTTTTATTAGTTGTGGGACAAATAATAAAAAAAGCAATCAATGTATAATTAAAAATGAATGAGACAGGTACAAGGCAAGGCATGCATGTACAAAATAGTAACTGCTATGTTACCCGTAAAACCAAAATCGATACTCCATGCGCCGTAACCGTTACATGACCAATGCAGTTTTTCCTGTTTTATCGGGGCAATTCGGTGCGAGTATCTATCAGATTGGTCATAACTGTTGTTCCTACATTTGACTGATCGAGATATATTGAAAGGTCAGTCACATGATTAGCAAATTTGAACTAAGCATCATGTAATTTGAATTTCAATTTCACATTCTAAGACTACACATTAATTGATAGTGGATATGCAACATGTGATATCACTTTTACAAAAAATAAACAAAATCCTATGGAATTGATAATCATGTACCTAAACTATATGGACTAATACAATACATTGTGGGTAATTATTATGCAACTTTTTTTTTACAAGTCTGGCTTTGACAAAGGATTCTAAAAATCAAAGTTCTCAAGTCTATATTTATGTCATAGAGCAAATAAACTTCATGCATTAGAAATTAAAGGTTTAAAATTTTGTTGGGTGGAGGAGGAGTGCGCATTACAACAACAAATTTTTTTGTACAAAAAGCTTTGATTTAGTTTATAACTGATGACCAGTTCGTACTTTGTAATACTTCATACAATCATTTTATTTATTTATTTTGAAAAGGGAAAAGGGGCAAATAAGCCCTCGAACTAACCAAAAAAGTGCAAATAAGCCCTTTTGTAGGAGGTTCCGTCCGGCCATCGTCATTTGAGGAGGTTCCCGGTGGAATTTTTTGATGAGTTTTTTTGAGCATCTTATTCATTAAGTCTAGTTTACTCATATCGAATTTCAGCTAAAAATTCAATCGGGAAGACAGTCAAATGAATTTTTGAAGATAACTGCGTAGTTAAACAACACAGTATATTTCGGAAAATCATTTGAGTGCCTTCCCGGTTGAATTTTTAGCTGAAATTTGATATGGCCAAACTAGACTTAATGAATAAGATACTAAAAAAATTTCATCAAAAAACTCTACCGGGAACCTCTCCAAATGACGGCGATCGGACAGAACCTCTTACAAAAGGGCTTATTTGCACTTTTTTTATTAGTTCGAGGGCTTATTTGCCCCTTTTCCCTTTTGAAAATTACAATAATCATATGCATATGCACATCGATGCTTTTGAATCGGTCATTCTCATATCTTCACAAAATATTAACACACATAATATTCTTTACTAATATTATATTAACACATGATTACGGGACTATTATTAACCTCTATTATGATTATTATTTTAATACTATTGAAGTGATACTACTGGACATAGGCGGAGTCAAAGCATTGGCTGGACTGAGCCGGTACAAACAATAATTTTTGAAAAAAAATCACTTGAATTTTTTAGCTAAAAAAATCAAGCCATTTTTTAAATTTTGAGATGGTAGGGGTCTAAATTGGGCCAATTGGCCCCTGGCTCCGCCCCTGCTACCGGGGCATGTCCCCGGTGTCACACTAGTATAGTAGAAGGCAATGGGTTTGCACGAACTTTCTGAAAGAGAGAGAAAGAGGGAAGGAACAATGGGTTTGATTCTTGAAGGGGAAGGAGACGAGATACCGAGCACAAGGGACGACGACGTTTTGTTACCGCCGTCAAACTTTTCCGCCGTTGAAGGCCAGTGCATTTACCGATCAGGACTCCCACAACCCTCCAGTTTCGCCTTTCTTCGGTCCCTCAATCTCAGCTCCGTAATGTATGTAGCACTTTTTATCCATTCAAATCTTGATTTTATTTACCAATTTTTGTTGCTTTCTAAAAAGTATTTTCCCCTTTCTTCCATTCATTAATATCTTTGTTGCATTTGATCGCAGATATTTGTGTCAGGAGCCTTACCCCGAAGAGAATAAGGAGTTTATTCGGCTTAACAACATTAAGCTTTTCCACTTTGGAATAGACGGCACAAAGGTGATTGTTTTTATCTTCTTTTTATTCATTTATATATTAAAAAGGTCGTTTTTGCTTTGATTGTTGATGGTACTAAAATAAAGAATTGGTTTGTGCCTTTGTGGCAATTAGTTGTACTGGAATCAGTTGCGCTTTTGGGACTGTAAACTTATTAATGTAGATTTTTAGGGAATACTTCATGAATGTATAAGAAAACATTAGCATTTTGATTCATAATTGGCAAATGGGTTGTACAGAACTATATCAAGTAAAAAAGGTTCTGGGCGTGGAAAACTGGGATTTGAGAGTGGTTGAATCCATGATATCAATAAGCCCGCCCTTTTTGGAAACAAAAAAACTGTTTTTCTTCCTTCTTAATGACTTGCGTTTGATACGTTTCATTTTCTTTTTACAACCACAGTCCTCCATTGGAATAATTTTCTAGCATCAATTGACTGCAAATCCACATTATCCTTTATCATTAACAGCATATTCTGCTGGTTTGGGGTTGTAAGGAAAGCACAAAAGCATAAATTACCATTCACTGGCCTTGTCTTTTCTATAATTTGTTTGCTGCTTGTTAGACTACTCAATATGGTTCTGGTTTTGTAATATCGGTAGAGCCTGTTTTTGCTTTCTTTCAGGAGCCGTCTAGTATTCCAATAAGCACCATAACCGAAGCTTTGAGAGTCTTAATTGGTACTCAACTTTTTTATCATTCAGTTCATTCTTCTTATTTGTTCACTATTATTCTATATTCTTTCAAACCATCTATTTAATGAATTTCCTCACAGTTTTTATAAATTGTCTGTAGATGTGAGAAACCATCCTGTCCTTATCCATTGCAAGCGTGGAAAGGTATTTTTCATTGTTTCTTGTTCATTCGCACTTTATAAAATAATCTCATAAGCGATCAATTCTTTAGGACATGTTTAGATCCCGGAAAAGCAGGGTATATTAGGGAGCCATATATGACTCCACTATGCAGTCATATGTCATGTGTGGCCTCCGCTAGAATTCCACTTTATAAATGAATGTCTATAATAAAGCCACATATGCATATATGTCTTACAGTGCAGTCCGATATAGTTCCTTAAATCTTTTGCAGAACAGCTGTCCATAGGGAAAAGGTACTACAAAAAGATGTTCTTTTGTGTTAGTTTTACCTTGGAAAATACAGAGGAATATAAAATATGATTATCTGCATATTTGTTTTTGACGTATTTAGAATTTTTGTCTTTGTATGCAATAATAGGCATCATAAATCCACAAATAGCTTATTAGCTGAAGTAAATTTAATGAGTTGTAGCCTTTCTTTTATTTCCCTCCATGTTTTCCCTTCATTCAAATATCTCTCTATATTTTCTTTCCCTAGTATTCTCCTGGACACAATCACGGCCTAACGAAATGTTTGGAACACAGAAAGTTCTAGAGAGAAAATTGGGGGAAAAGTATAGAAGAAATTTTAAGGGAAGGAAATGAAACACTTGTTCAGTCAATGAGTTTTGTATATTTTTTAAACTCATTTTTAATTTTATACTTCTATCATATGAATATTACTCCATAAATAATTTAAAATAATGAAAAAGAAAATTATGAACATCAACCACATACCATTTTTCAAATTAAAACCAACCCCAATAAGCTTCCCATACTCCATAGCCCCCCCCCCCCCCCCCTCTATTTCCCTTTCTCTAGTCTTTTTTGGGATCCAAATGGATCCTCAAAGAACATTGATTGATTCTAATGCATTTATTTATTTATTTTGTATGTTTGTTTCAACTCATTTTTAATATTTATACTTCTATCTTATACTTCGTATATGAAAACAAAAATAACAAATGTTAGCTTTGCAATTTAAACTGGCAGCACCGAACCGGTTGTCTTGTAGGGTGCCTCAGAAAACTGCAGAATTGGCGTTTGGCATCGGTTTTGGAAGAGTACAGACATTTTGCAGGCACAAAGTGGAGAGAAAATGATATATTTTTCCTGGAGGCGTATGATGTGTCGTGTATTAGGCATTGCCTTCAGAGTCTTATCTACCGCTACTACGCTTCAACCAGGAACCGGCGCATTCTATCCAAAGAAGATGGTTTGAAGAAAACCAGAATTGCTTCCATTTAATTTGATGATGATGATGATGAACTTTTCACTTCAAGGGTATAGTTTCCATACTATTTTTGGAGCAGCAGAAGCTTATGTACAGTTTCCACTGGAAAAACCAAACACCAAAGGTGTCGTTGAAACATTTTAGGGAAAATGTGAATGGTAAGTTTTATGTCCATATCATATGAGCACCCTTCCTTTTATAGCGTGTTTGTCTATGTTATAAATATAGGGTCGAGTTTACCTATAAACTTGTCCTCCAATGCAAAGTGCAAGTTAATCTGGCGGGTTTTTTACAAGAATATTACTAAAATAAAACTTATTTACATAAATATGACTATTCATTACTACAATGTAGTGTTGTGGTAACTGAAGTTCAAAACTTGAACATGAATTACTATGATTTCATTACTACTCTAGTAACTAATCATATTTTTGTAAACTATCTTTATTTTGGTCATATTTATGCAATTATTTCTAATCTGGCGCGTTCGTTGGTGTAGAGTCGAGAATAGATATGTAAATTTCATATTAAATTACATTTTTAATTAAAAATTAATGGCAACATTTATGAAATAAATCTCTGTATTTACTTTTCTTGGTCAATGATGGCAAACTTTGCATAATGGTTTTAATTATTATACTTATATGTAATTTATAAATTTTATACTTTTATGAAAATATTTTCAATAAGGAACATTTTGCTATAATTCTCATATTCAAAATAATTTTGTATTAAAAAATATCATTGGTCAAAGTTGATTGTCATTTAATAAGAAAAGTCGATTTAACAAACCTGTTTAGGATGTAGGGAATATGTTTATTCATGCATGAACCGTGGGAGCCCCATTTTAAGGGTATGTTTGAAAAACTTAAAAAAAAAAGTTGTTTTCACTTTTTGGCTTAAAAAGCTGAAAATAGTGTTTGCAAGTAATAACTTATACTTAACCAAAACATTTAAAAGCTAAAAGCTAGAAATTATTTTTTAATTTTTTCTATTACACAAAAATTAATATTTTACCAAACACTATTAGCTTTTACTTTTCAAAACCGTTTTCTTCTCAAAGATTACTAACTTTTAGTCTTTTACTATTAAACTCTTTTTCTAAAATCACTTTAATTTTTTTTTAAGACGTAAGCAATTGCAAACACTTCCTAATCACGGATGGATTTATGGTGGTGGTGGTGGGAGACCGTCTCCTTGAACTTTCAAACTTTTCTATGCCTCCATCCCAATATGATGGTACCAATTTTTTGGGCATGAAGATTAAGGAGGGATATGGAAATTTCAAAAGTGTCGTTGGTTTTTTTCCCTTACATCACTCTTCTTCTCTACCAGCTAACCAGCCTGCCGCAACTCCCCCGCCTCTTTCTTTTCCATTTCCCTTCGTCCATCTTTTTCTATACTAGGACTCACCTACCTCTATCTCTGTACCATTCTTAAATTAAGAAAAGGAAAATCAAATATATTAGCCGTCTTGGTCTCTAATGAACAAAGCAAATAAAAAGAGGGATAGTGAACCAGTCAGATTACATCGAGATCTATGGCCGTTGAAGATAATTATGCTCTGCCAATTTATGAACCCTAAAAAGAATGAGATTTCTTGCTTCTGGCCGTTGAATCCCTAGTGCTTTACAAGAAGTTCCGAAAAAGTGGAGGGAGACTGGGAAACCAACTATTTGGAGAGGGGAGACAGACGTATAAAGGTAGGTTAGTAGGGGTAGGGGAAAATGGGGAAGGTTGCGGGGGCAAGATCGAATAAGATGGCAAAGTTGAAGATTAAAAATAATATGAAGGGCAAAACTGAAATTGAACATCAATATTTTTGCCAAGATGGGAAATGAGACTATCATTTTGAGACACTCCAGAAAAGAAATATGTTACCATCAAATTAGAACGGAGGGAGTATTATATATGTAACTGATGGAGTTCCGACCCTAAGGTAGGCGGAATCAGTGAATAGAGAGACTGAAAGTTCTAAGTAATTGTTGAACGTCCTCGTTAGGACAACAATTGGAGGGTGTGTATGAGCTCTCTTAAAAGGAGATTCACCTTTGTTGGTAATCGTAATACTATTAATCCTTTTAAATTAATCTCGAGTATTACAATCACCCCCACTTAGGATCGCAACGTCCTCGTTGCGCCTATAAGTCAATTCAATCTCAATCATGTCCCAGAATCTTACTCTGCTAAGTGCCCGCCCGATATCTAACGGATCAGCACACTGTCGCAGGGTTGCTCTGATAGCACCTGTAACACTCCGGCCCCGCAGGGACCCGGGGTAGTTACTCATACACACCCTCCAGACCTCTAGTACTGTCCTCACAAATCGCCATGAACCTTTACCGCGCACTTTGTCCTCACTCGTGCGCGCCCCGAGAAACTTCCCAGAGGATCACCCATCCCAAGACTACTCTCGTGCTAACACGCTTAACTTGGAGTTTTTAGGTGATGAGATCCCTTAAAAGGAGACACACCTTTGTTGATAAAGAGCAGTTTTTGACTCTAGACTGGCACGCCCGACAAAAGCACTTCTCTCCATGGTCACAACAAAGGGATGCCTCATTAAAAACAACCTTGAGGAAAAACCCCTGTGGGAAAAAACTCAAGTTGGCAAAGTGGGTGAGAAAGCTCAGACCAACCCCCTCCATGGGTCAATGGACTCATCTGGGATGTCATTGTACCAATCATATGCCCCTCCTCTCCTCTCTAAAGTGGAAGGGAACATCTTACATATGTACTCGCCGCTAGCCCCAAGCATAAACATGCTCGACTAGTAGCGAGAGTAATGCTCTTGGGGTCAATTTTATCCTCGTAGAGTTGAATGTTTGTCCTCTTATACTTTGGGGGTATATGGTCCTGCATGATTCAGGCGGTGAAAGGGGTGGCAGATCTTACCCTTACCGTGCCTGGCTCATTGTTACGCTGCACCTGGAGTTGTTGCACTTGAAGTGCGAGAGCTTTTAGTTGATGGTTCTGTGCTGGAGGAGGGGGGAGGCGGCGGCGGCAATGTTGTTGCAATTACTGTCCGCAGTTCATTTATCTGCTGGGTCAGAGCGCGAATCTGTTCCTCCCTTGGGTCCACATGGCGTTGGTGCCGTGGTGGGGAGTTTTACTGTCACTTTGGCAGTGAGATCTCTTGTTGGCACAGAGGTGAGATCCGCTGTTGTCTTGAGGGAGGGGGTTGCTGGTGGTGTTGGGGTCAATTTGGGAGAACGATTACCCCTAGCCTCTCCAAAGCGGGGATGTGCTCTAGAGTCCTCCAGCTCTGCTGTTGTGGCCGCTACTAACGATAATGGTGCACATTGGTGCTTGGTGAATCACCTTTGTTGATTCCCCGGAGGTTGATAGAAACGTGTTGCTTAATGATGGCTCAGTTCCCCAACCTGTTGAAGATGGGGCGCCTCCCAACGTCAATCCAGGGGTTGGGGTTATCATCCACTTATAGCCCCCCCCCCCGGGGGGGGGGGGGGGGGCAAAGGACTGCGTTGAGTCCTCTGTGGTGATGGCATAAACACCTTCATCGTTGTGGCAACCATTGCACATACGACGCGCCATATAGTTTGGAGGTAGCATTGGAGTTGGTGGTGGGGCCACAAACTGTTGCACCACCTGGGGGCGTGACAGAGAGGTGCGTGGTGTGGCTCACTAGCGAGAGATGCCAGCCTGCTGTGTAGTGTGGACAACAACGGCCACGTCTGGCGCGGCACCACCGGAGCTGCCTGTTGGAGTGGAGGAGAAGGAGGGTATACCTGTAACACCCCCAAATTTATACCCCAAAAGATGTTAATTATAGAAAGAATAGAAATAATTTCCCAAATCATTTAATTCAAAATGGTTTAAATTGCAGCGGAAGCATAATATTTAATTGGGTGTTACCGCCTCACTCGGTTCTCACATATCCGAGTGCACATGCTAAACCATCATCCAAAGATAATCCAAGTATTTAAAGATTAAAATATCGAAAAATAAATTAAATGTCTACATGTTCCCAAACTGAAATTAACAATAACTAGATAATTATAATTACTAAACTATGTGATCTAACGCAGCTCTCATCATCACGCATAACCTTCATCACCTGCACAATTAAAGTGCAGAAAACAAAACAAAGACAAAAGAACAAAAATCAGCTTTTTAGCTAAGTAAGATCTACCCAACCCCGTAAAATAATACTCCCTCTGTCCCTAAATTTACTTCCATTTCGCTTTTCGAGAGTCAACTTAAACCACTCTTAAACTCTTACTTTTTGTATCAAAACTTCATGAAAATTGATTTTTTTTTTGCAGGTTTTGTAGCGGGTTTAATGTAGTTTCTGAATATGTAAATTTTATTTACTAAAAATAATCCGAGTTTTCACAGGAATCATTTAACTTTATCGTCGGTCAACCTTCGTAATCCGCAATTGGAACAACATTCAGGGACGGAGGGAGTATAATTTGAGAAAATAGGTTTTTGTACATAATATAATCTCAAAAAACCATATACTTCCAAAATACTCTTTTCGAATCTTAAACAATACTTAACATGTAAAATAACATATCATTTATAATTCAATAATATACATCCATAATTCGAGTACACTTATAATTGAAATAATATTTCTAACACTTCAAATAATTCACATCCCAACATATGAGTAAAATATCATTACCACTATAACATTCCCAAGTTCCACATTCCAAAAGGTTACCTTCCAAAAGAATAATTCTCCAAAAATAGATTTTTTTTGACAAATCCAAAAATAGATTTCTAAAAAATATATCACACCAACAATATAACTTTTCAAAGACACAACTTCCCAAAAATATAAGTCTTCAAAATACAACTATAAACAAAATAGTTTTCCAAGAGTGTTTAACCTTCCAGAATGTAACTTTTCAGAAATACCACTTCCCCAAAAATATATAATTAAACCTCAAAGTTGTCGGGGTGATTATTGACCCACCATAAAATTTCATTCAATAATAATCCACCAAAATCACTTTAAGTAGGAAAGACACTTTCGTACAAATCCATATTCCAGTACCTCTTTTCAAGATCATACTTAATACTCATCCACCAAACCCATATCTACCAATTTAGAAATTGAATCTCTACCTTAAGTGTGTGCACCCTCTAAAAGGGATTCCAAACCCTCCGAGTAGTAAGAAGTCCAAGTAGTTGAGACAAGCTAAGTCTCTACCGACTGCCCCAGAAAGGACGTACGAATTCTATAAAAGTGGAATAGGGGCTACTACTACCACACAAGTCGAAGCAAACCAGAATCCTACATTTATCCGGATG